TTTGATTTGTTTGCCTACATACCTAAAAGTACATATGTTTTCAAGTTGACCAAAAAACCCTTTTGGGGACTTTTTAATAGGGAAAATGGGGGAAATTTTGATACCTGAAACTGCCTTATAGTTGGGCAATATTATATATGCTGAATCTCAATAAAATAAAATTGATTCACATAGCTAGTCTACTGACACATCTTAACCAAGCAGGGCTCTCTTCCCTGGTAAGTTTGATCATATTTCGTGGCTTGTTCTACCTGCATTTAATAACCTTTTGGAGACTATAACTTGAAACAAGTCAACAGCAGGAGTCCAGGATTCATTCCTGGAGCCCCATGTTCCCTCCTCAGGACCTGCAGTGATGCAGTGCCCCATCACTTGAAGCCAGCTCTTCTTCAGCCTGCCTCTCCAGCCTGCCCCGCCCATCCACCCCCATCAGCCCCACCCATCCAGCCGACCTCATTTCCTACCACAGCCAACCTGCACCCTCTGTTCCTGCTAAGTCTTCCCTCCTAAGGCAGCGGTTCTCAACCTTTCACAGGAGTCACCTAAGACCATCGGAAAACACATATTTTCGATGGTCTTAGGAAATGAGACACTGCTCCTCTCTCCGTCTCCAGGCCCACATGCAGATACGCCCACATACGAGTACCCGGCGACCCCTGTGAAAGGGTCGTTCGATCCCCAAAGGGGTCGCAACCCACAGGTTGAGAACTGCTGCTCCTAAGGGCTCCTTGCACTGGAATGGCTGCCCCCCATCCAACTCCATCCTTTACAGCCCAGTCCCACTCCCACAAAGTGAAGTTGTCCTGACCACCTCGGTCCACAACAGATTAGATTCCACTCCCTGCAATCCTTATGCAACACAGTCATAATCTAGCATTGAATTACATGCTCTTATAAGTTATTTTGTGATTGCTTCCAGGATTTTTTTTTTCTCTCTCTAATAAGAGAAAAGATTTTGAGGGCAGGGACTGAAACTAATAATTCTTCTAGATCCCCCTCAGAGTTGATTGTCACTTGACTGAATGTTGTCTAACGACATCATGCCATTTCATATGGAGGATGCTTTTGCCCTTGTTGAAGGGTAAACTACAAGAAAAACAGGATTAGTACCTCCAATAAACAACTGTTTTTGATAAGCCTGCTACCTCTGAGACTGTAATGGTATTAACCTACTGGCCTGAATCACAGAGCATTTGCAATGGGGTGACTGCAGGTGGCACAAAAAAGGAAGACAACCACTAACGATACAACCACGTCTTGCTTTCTGCAGTCATAAAGGTTCTCTAAGCACCAAATCCTTCAGCAAAACAGCTCGTCAAGGTAGAGACCTTCAAAAACTACCCAGAACCTGACCTAAGACACCCTGTAATACCAATGTTCCTGAGCTAAGCCACCATCATTTGTCAACTGCAGTATTGCAAGAGCCTCCTAATTAGTTTCCATACACCCCCACCTCCTCACAGTCTACTCTCAACAGTGACCTCAATGAGCCTGATGAGATGCTAGTGTGTCCAAACCCTCCAATCATGGATCAGTCTGACTCCTGGTAGAAAACAGATGGCACATTCAAAGTGTGTGCTTGGACGAGAGTTTATAAAGAAACAAATTACAAAGGCATGGGCAGGTGTAAGGAAGTCATAAAGGAGAAGGCAGTACTCTGGGGCTGCCAACACAGAGGTGCTTGATCCCCTCCTAGGCCTGAAGGTGTGAAGAGAAGGAGAGAGAGACACAGAGAGCTCCATGGAGAAGGCACCTGACAGGAGATGTGAGACAGTCTAGAGACACTCCAGTCCATGCAATCCTGCAGGAAGGGAATAAATACACCAATCTCGTTCTCCCTCTCTCTCATCCCCCATCTATACTCTCCATGACCAAAACCAGCCAGAGGCCATGAGGCAAGGGAGTCTGTCAGTGCAGGCCCACCCTGTAGAGCACATCTACAGAGCAGGGTGGAAAAGGGTACAGTGAATCTGGGGAGGTAAACTGAAGCTATCCAGCCAAATGATTTCCCATCTCAAGCAGGGTATCTGCAAGTCCTTACAATGGCCTATAAGGCCCTACATGATCCAACCCGATCTCCTATTTTCCTGTTTGATAGCCTCTCGACTCACAGTGGATCTCCTCTCACCAGGTGCATGCCTGCCTCTTAGATCTTTGTACTCGCCGCTTTCTCTGCACAGAATGCTTCCTCCACATCCCCCTACCTCCCCCGCCCCCCCCCACACACACACACCCAGCTACACACATACATGGCTTGTTCCCTCACTTCAGGTCTCAGATCAAATGTCAAAACATCAGAAGTTTTTCTCTTGCCATCTTATATAAAAAACACCCTCTTCTCATCCCCACCCATTCCTTATCCTGCTTTATTTTCCTCCACATCATTTCTTTCTAATTAATGTATATAATGGGAGATAGATAGATAGATAGACGCATAGATAGATTCCCTTTTTTTAATTGACTGCCTCCCTGGCCTAGAACAAAAGTTTCATAAAGCCATCAACTTGGCATCTTTTGTTCACTGCCTTATGTCCAGTGCTTAGAACAGTGCCTGACACACAAAAGGCACTCAAATATTTGCTGAACAGATGAAAGTGAATGAAAACAGAAGGAACCATAACTAAGGGCTCTTTCCACTATTTATAGGTTTAACTCCTATTATCAAATTGTTGTTTAACAAATAAAGTCTCCTCACAGGGATTTAAAGTACAGCATAGGGAATAGAGTCAATAATATTGTAATAACTATGTGTAGTTCCAGGTGGGTACTAGACTTAATAATTTATAAATTATATAAATGTCTAACCACTATGCTGTACAGCTGAAACTGAATGCTTACCGTAATTAAAAAAATTTTTTAATAAATGAAGTCTTCTGATAATCAGACAGGAAGCAGGTGACAAGCATCTGTTTTTATTAGCAGTGGCACAAAATTGAGCCCTGTCAGTAAATTCCTATGAATAAATAGTTCAGTGAGAATCAAAAGAATAACAATAGTGCTTTCTGTAAACAACTCCTTCTCGCAAGGCTGGTATTTCTTATGAATATATCATTATTAACCTACTAACCTAGTACTTCTTTAAGCCTCAGTCTCCTTGTCTGTAAAATGTGTAAGGATTGAGTAGTAACATGTATGGAGAGCCTTTAGCACGGTGATGAGACCCAATAAATGGACACTACGATGATTATTAAAACATTGAGGCAGTCAAGAAAATTAGATGCTACATTATTTTCCCACTATCTGGGACTGTTCATCCTAGACTTCAAAAATCTATGTTGTTGGGCCGGCTGAGTGGCTCAGTTGGTTAAGAGCTCGCTCAAGAGTTTGAGCTCTGAGCAACAGCGGTTGGAGTCCCGGCCCAAGCTGAGCTGCCGCTGAGCTGCCAACAGGTGGCAGGATGGCTCAGCTAAAAAAAAAAAAAATCTAAGCTGGCATAATGACATGGAAAAGAAATATAAGATGCTCTAATATCTACCCCACAGTTAGGCCTACATTTGAAAGACATCTGTAATCCCAATCAATGTTCCCTAACAGAACCTAGCTTCCACTCCTGGTCCAGGCTTTGGCCTACCCTTTTGCAGATCAAAACCTTGCTGCATCATTTCTGTAGCACTCATTTATGTCTAGGTGCTTAGAATGTAAGTGCTGGTGTTTTCCTGGTAGGAACAAAGCAGGGACACTACTGGAAAAAAGTAGCACAGGAAACAGAGAAAGAGCAGGTCAGTAAGGCTCCTGATAATGTTCCCTTTTTTGACTTGCCCCCCTAGCCATGGAAGTCTCTGATCTGGTCTCTAAATGTATACACCAAATTGTGATTCCCTTTTCTCCACTATCATTCTATCCATAGCCTTATCTGCTGGGTTAGTTCAAGAACTGCCTAAAAGGTAACCCAATACTCTTAGGTCAGATACAAAGAAAAATGCTGATCTGAATCAACTCAACAATCCATCACTTAGGAATACTGCAAAGCCTTTTTGTTATTAAGTGATATTTATCTGTATAGCCATAAATATACAATATGATATCTATCACTGCTAATTTTGCCTCAATGGAAGCTTCCAACTTCAGATAAGAAAGTCAAAGCAGATCCCTCCAAGGTTAAGCCTGGGGACTGATCTTATTTTAGTAAGCAAGCAGCCTGATGTTTATGTGCTAAAAAGAATCATCCTGACCACTTCTCCTTGTGACAGTAGTAAATATTTCCACAATAACTTGGGAACAATTGGGGAATGAGAGGGAAAACAAAACTATAGTTCACTACTCATTCCTCAAACCCATTTCAAAGTGATAGGTTCAATCCTACTTTGAGAACTCAGTGAATGAATGACAAGCAGTCCAAAATTTATACTTTTTATTGTAACACTTTCCAAACTATATTGTTTTCCTTTCTGTCTTCCCCAACCAGTCTGTGCCATGCTTATGGTCAGGCGCTCTTTTATTTCTTTGTATTTCCAGCGTTTAACATTGTGTCCAATACATTGCTGGTGCTCAAATGACTGAATGACTACTGAAATGCCAACCCACGCGGCAGGCCCAAAACCTGACATTGTGAGTCAGAAATTAAATAGATCATGGAATGGCATGACCTCAGTCTGGCCGCTTCTCTTTCCCTCTATGTCCCAAAACTACAAATAGGGTGGGGAAAGTGCACTATCCATCTGAAAACCTCCCGATGTCCCGGCAGAAGAGTGAACTGTCTGACCCGCCCGGTCTGATTCTGACCTCCAAGCACAGAACACGATTCTCTCCTCTCTCTAAGGCAGAGCGGACCCAGGTACTGTCCTCTCCTCCAAGCCCAACCCTGACAACGACCCCTCCCCACAAACGCTCCACTCCCCAGCCCAAGCCTGGGCGCCCAGAGCTTCCCAGAGGGGAGGCGCCGCGGTGCACTGTGGGAATCGTAGTTCCCCGGTAAATTCCGCACCTGGGCGGCCCAGAGAATGGGACTCCCACTCCCAGAAACCCCCGCGCGGGCGCCTCGCCTAGTCCTGTCACCTCACCTGTTCTATGGACGTGACTGTTTCCACCGAGTCGTCCTGCAACCGCTCCTGCGCGTGCTCCGGCCTCAGACTGTACAGCGGCTCTGACCAGACAGGGGAGGAAGATGGAGGGCTATAGTAGGTGAAGGAGCTCGGAGAAGCCATGATCAGGAGAGCAGCAGGCGGTGTATAGGACTCAGCTTCGTCCAACAACAACGCGCATTGAAACTCGAGCGGGCTAAGGCGCTACGGAGAGCGGATAGAGTCAAAAAGATTTTGAACGCGAATCTCTCCCTTCCTACCTACAGGTCTTCAGGGAGTGAGTTGCTGGGATGCTGCCTCCCCCCACTGGTCAAAAGAGCTGCTGCAAGAGGCTCAGCTTCCTGGAGTGCAAGGAAGGAGGGATGTGTACATTTCAGTTTCATTTTAGAGAGATGGTGTAAGTAAGATGCCTCGGTTCGTTATGCAAATTAAAATGCACACTTCTTTTCAGCATTCTGCTAATTCTCATTTAATCATAATGGCAGTAACTCACAGTCTCGGGTGCCCAAGAACCCAGTAATTGTAACTTTACAAGCATTTCTGACATCTCTCCTTATTGTCTCAGTCGTGCTATTACTAATATAATTATTGTGCACCTTTGGGTACGTGACAGCTACCCAGGAGAAGCCAGCAGCTTCTCAACAAAGGAACTGGCATGTCATTACTCAGTGGCAAAGGGAAGGGACATTGTAACTTTCTCCTACTCCATTGGGGGTTGCAGTGCAGTAGCAGGAACTAAAATACACTGGAAGGAACAAGTAAGTGAAACAACCAAGACAATATTCATTCACTAATCAGTTTTTTATAGAGCTCCTACAATATGTAAGGCACTGTGCTAGGCCCTAGGAATACAAATGTGAACAAAACCAACAAGGCCCCTGCCCTTGGGAACCTTACAGTCTAGTGGAATAGACAAAATTAAGTGAATGAACACAATAAATATATGAAGACTTGTGATAAATGGCATGAAGGAAAATAGGGTCTATAAGAGAAATTAAAGGAGGAGGGGACTAACTATTGGGTTGTCGGAAAAGTCATGACGCATTTTTGCAACGAAAAACAGAAAAAAATCGTCATGACTTTTCTGACAACCATATAGATTGCATGGTCAGGCCGAGCCTCACCAAGCAAATGATATGTAGGCTGAGACCTGAAGAATGAACAAGGAGCCATCCATGTAAACAATATGGGGACGAGCTCAAGAGGAAGGAATAGCAAGTTTGAGAGAACATGCCATAAATATACCTACCTTTTTTTTGGTTTCTATTAATTCTGATTTTTAATCTGAAGGTATTCAGAATAAAAGAAAACGTATTGAATGGGGTTAATCATCATATATCCTCCAAAAAATAATTTAAAGTTGCGATTTTAGGAAAACCCTGCTACCTTTGGATAAGCAATAGAAGAGAATCTTTCAGGGCCCACCCACATCAAAAGGACTACACCAAAATTAAAATACCAAGAGGTTAAACGATTTAGAGCAGAGGGGATTTGTGGGGATGTGGGAGAAGATAAGATGCTAACAGACTTTCCTGATAGATTTGGACACAAGCTCAACTTCTTCCTCAACTTTCTCCCTCACTTGGTTCCAAGTCACATATCTAGGACCCAGGAAACTGGTGTGGTATTTCACAACCAACCATTCCCCTGTTCTCAGTCTTTGGTGTCAAATAGAAGCACTCAGAAAGAGTCTAAGGATGAGGTGGGATGGCCTATAAGCCTCAGGCGGGTAAACACTATTCCCTATTCCCATTGTGGGGGAGGAAGAAACTTGCCTCTAGCCTCATGGTTCTTTTGGCTGGTCTAATAATAAATCTACATGAGACAGATTAACAGGAGAAAATGACCAAATTTAAATATATACATACACATGGGAACCCCGCATACATGAGAGAGTCCGAGACCCCACATACGTGAGAGATTCAGAGACAGAAAGTTAAAGTAAGGTATATATGACATTCTGAGCTAAGGATGAGGTAAGGCACCTTAGGGCTTCAGAGGGCCATTGCAGGACCATAAGGAGATCAGATGTTCAGTAATTAATAGTTTCCCCTGCTGTATTGATAGGTTAAACAAAAAGAAAGGTTATCTCTGATAATCTTTTATTATGGGCAAGGTCCCTAAATCAAATTCTTCTAAGTAGTTAAGAAGGTGGGGGCGGGGGGATAGAAGTTGCTCTTGAGCCCACAAGGTCTCGGTTACCTTTACCTCAAAATAACCCTCATACCACAGAGGCATATCTCAGGGTGACTTGTTTGGAACCCCTACACCATTTTAGTGGTACTGTTGCCAAGTTAAGTCTTAGAGGTGGCAGAATGTTACTAAATCTGAGGGTAAGTGACACTGTGTGGGTTAGGATTGCCCACATGGCCGTACTATACTTCCCTCTTTATTGGCATCTTATTATTTTCCCCTTAATTCTGTTTTAGAAAAAACTGTCTGATAAAGGTCAGGGTCACATCTAAGGATTCAGCCTTCTTTGTAAAGAGTTACTTTGTTGGCTAGAAATCTGCTGGAAGTTTTGTAACAAATCATTACATCTGTTATAGGTATGCCTGAAGCAATTGCAAATTGTATTCAAGAAATAGAAATCCATTTCTGAAATGCAATTGCCTCTGAGTGGGCTCTAAAAGATGTTAATAGGGGCATGGCAAGAGTCTCCTGCAGGATAGTATCTGTAAATTCAGTAAATATTTATTGGGAGTACCCATTATGTGCTGGGCACTAAGCTAAGTGCTAAGGAGACAGCAGTACACAAGTGAGACACAGTCTCACCCCTTATGGGTCTCATGATTTACCAAAAAAACAAGACATTAAACAGGCATTACAGACTATTTCATGAGGGGAAACAGCATGAGAGAAAGAAAGCACAGGGCGTTTTGAGATTGCATAACAGAAAAGACTTAAGATAATCTAGAAAGTCAGGAAAAACCTGTATGAGGAAATGGGTTAATTAACCCAGAGTGAGGGGACATCCCAGCAGAGGAAACCCAGTAACAACCAAAAAATCAAGTGAAACAAGGAATAAAAAAATGTGAGGAGTTTGTACTCTATGTAGCATCAAGAAGATTGTTCAGCCCTGGATCAACAGTGGCCCACTAGTTGTCCTTCCTCTGGGTTTAATAAAACCATTCATTTAAGAAGCAGAATGAATATAAATATTGGCAGTATGGCAGAGAATTATGTACTTACAGGAGAAAGTCTCAGTAGTGATAATTAATAGCAACTCCAGCTTGGACTGTAGATGGTTTGGGTTTACTTTACTCAAATGCCTCATATTTTTCTAAATTAAACTGTGAACTGTAATTGTTTCTTTAAAAATAATATTAAAATATATGGATAGCGCTATTTTGTACTTCCATTAAGAGCAAGAAAACAAGGGGAAAAAAATTAATGGCCTGAATGAACCACTAGAGGTCACTTCTGAACCTAGAGTAGGCTTATGAAGTAGGCTTTAAAACTCACTGCCATTACTCACACAGCCCATATGTCAGCATGAATTGTTTCTTTTAATATCTTGTGAAACTATGTAATAATACATATCTTGGGAGCTTTGGAAAATGGAAGGAACTCATCTATTATCTTACTAGATAATGAATTTCCTCCCCCAATTCACTCCTCCACCAGCCTCTGCCTCCTCCCCCTGTCCATGTCCCTTGGGTCCCCCTAGATGGAATGACTTCCCAGCTCTCACCTAGGGCCACCCCTCATGCCCCATCCTAGGATGTTATTCCAGCAATGCTCCCCTGCTTTTCCTAGAACATCACATTGTCCCTATACATGATCATTCCCATCACCTTCAAACAGGCTACTTCTCCATTCTCGGGGGGAGGGGGAGGACATTTTTAACCCTCTACAGGAACGTCAGTGCCAACAATGGTTCATGAAATTCCGTGCTGGTGATTAGCCCAATACAAACAAAAACTAGACCGAACCTCTTTCAGTGTAAGCAAAGTCACACCTTCACTCAGAGCCCTCTTCTCTTACTCAGAATCAAAATCAAGGTCCTAACCATGGTCTAGAAGTCCCCAACGACTAGGCCTCCTCTGCTCGTAGTCTCCTGTTTGCTCCCCCTGTCCACCCACACCGGCCTCCTTGCTGTTCTGTGTACTCCAGGCACGCACCAGCCTCGGAGAGTTTATGCTTATTATTCCCTCCCCTGTAGCTCTCTGCCCCAGATATGGACAGGCCTTTTACTCTCACTTCTGATAGTCTTTACTCAAGTTCTTTAGTCTAATTCAAATTCCTTTTCCTTGAGGCCTTTCCTGACCTCCCCACATAAAACTGAAATGCCTCCCTCACCCTGTAGTATTACTCTGTCCCTCTCTTCTGCTTCATTTTTCTCCGTTGCACTTACCACCAGCTGACTGTCTTATATTTTATTTTGTTAACTGTCTGTCTTCTCCCCACTAGAACATAAGCTCTCAGGCCAGTGACTTTTGTATTGTTCATTATTTAGTCTCTGATACATAACAGGCCTTGGGTAAGTTAAATTATTTCCAGTCATTGTAATAGACATTTGCACGCTTGTTGGTGTAACATACTGTAGAAGATAATGACAATGAACATAATACTAGCCTTACCCTTCAGGAGCTCATAGCCAATAAAAACAGAAATTATATAAATATAAAATAAATATATAAAACAAATTTAAATAAATATAATATTCATGTATAAATAAATGTAAACAAAATAAGACATAATACACAAAATGCAGTGGGAGAATAGGGAAGAAGTAATTAATTTTCAGCTATTTAATGAAGATGACCTTTTAATATATAACATTTATGTTTAGTAATTTTTTTTTAAAAAGAGTTGCAAAACTTTTCTTTTATTTTTTAATTGAGGAACAGTGTGTTTTTCCAGGACTGATCTGCTCCAAGTCAAGTAGTTGCCTCAATCCAGCTGTGGAGGGCGCAGCTCAGCGGCCCATATGGTATTGTGAGCACTGAGCTCTAACCAACTGAGCTAACAGGCTGCCCCCCCAAATTTTTTTTTTTTAAGATTTTATTGGGGAGTTAGGGGAGGGGAACAGCACTGGGGAATCGGGGGAAGGGGAACAGACAAGTTGCTGTCCTTTTGTTTTTCAGTCTAGTTGTGGAGGACGTTGCTTCACTGGCCCAAGTTGTCACCATCATTGCGCTCTTCCCAGGCGAAGCAGATCAGTCGCCGGCTTCTGGACGGCCCGCTCACGGCGGCTGCTGGCCTCTCACGCTGGCTGCTGGCTACACACGGTAGCTTATGGCAACCCACTGCAGCAGGGGCTGCAGCCTACGCCATCGCCGGCGAGTCACAGCAACCCTGCTCCAGGTTGAGCTGTTGTTCAGCATCTTAGCTGTAGAGGGTAGTATCAC